TTGTTGAGTCTTGCCCCATTTTATAACTTTTCTTGCCACGTTTATTAAGTGGATCACTGCAGTTGTTAAATTAGTAATACATTGTTAAGTGAATTTTAAGTGATTTTGCTTGTCAGAAGGTTGCAGAAAAATGATCACATGACCCTGGGATACTGCAACCGTCATAAATTATGAGTCAGTTGCCAGGAGTCTGAATGTAAATCATGTGACCATGGGGATGTTGCAAAATGGTCATAAGCCAATTTTTTCAGTGCCATTTTAACTTCAAATGGCCACTAAGCAAACTGTTGCCTGTATATAAAAGAAATAGTTTGCAGGTATTATCTTGATTTATTTACCTACAGTATTAAGGGATAACCCAAATTTAAAAACATCTAAGCCTGGTTTGGGATCAACTAGAAGATCATTTTTAACATTATTATTTTTAACAGTGCAGTTCAAAACAAGCCATTTCTAAATTTTCATGGAATAAAAAGTTTTATTTGCCTCAGAAGGCTTACTGGCAGCTTACTGAGTTTAAATATCTGTTATTCTGTTTATTTTTTTCCCAGATTCTATTGCTACTTCCAAAATTCTACAATACTTAATAATTTCGGAGGCACTAATTGTGGTTTCCCACCCAAATAGGTTCCCACCTATTTGAAGTTGAAATAAGTTGATGAAATTGGTATTATATTTCAACTCCTTCCCTCAAACTGACGTTATAAAGTACTGCACACTAGAACTAGACACAAGAACAGTTTTTTCCCAAATGCCATCATTCTGCTAAACAAATAATTCCCTTAACACTGTCCAACTATTTACCAAGTCTGCACTATTACTATTAACCTTCTCATCACGCTTTATCACCCATCTCCCACACCTGTGACTGTATAACTGTAACTTTGTCGCTTGTATCTTACAATCTATAATGCCTGTTTCCTAGTATGATTTGATTGCTTATTGTACCCTATGACTATTATTAGGTGTTGTACCTTATGATTCTTGACTCTTGATGAATGTATCTTTTCTTTTATGTATACTGAGAGCATTTGCACCAAGACAAATTCCTTGTGTGTCCAATCACACTTGGCCAATAAAGAATTCTATTCTATTTCTGTAATAATGAACAAAATGTGTTGTCTTGGTAAATCAGTGGTAGGTCACCAGAAACTGTATGAAATTGATTTAAAATGAGGGTAAATGTAGCAAGAGGGTATTTCACATCTATTGGAAATGTTAGATAATGTCTAATAGTTATATTTACTTTGCTGATGGAGGTACAGCTCAGGAATTAGAATATTAGTTGACATGGCTTTGTCTTGCTCTATTGTATTATTATTTGGGACTGATTTACTCTACATAGAAATATTACTGTCTAAAACTGTATGTATTCTCAAATATTTTAATGTTTGGAATTTATCAAGACACCAGAAAATGTTCATTTGGATCACATTGGAGTTACTAACCAATTACTAACTTTGAAATATTATTGTTATGGTAGTATATTAGTACCATTGTTATATATCTGTAAACTTGTTAATTAGCTTAAAGTATATACTTGTAATCCTTGTTCAGCAACTTCAATTGGTTCCAGCAACCTGGTCATTAAACAAGGCTGTCACTAAGTGAAAAAATGTGACCACAGCTGGACTTAAAATTTTACTGCAGCTTTTATTCATTTTACATTGTCAGATATGACCTCAAAGAGCCAGATGAGCCAAACAGCAGGGAAGGTTTTCCAGCACTCAAGTCAGAGAGCAACCAGGTATAAAAGGGCAAATCTTACTGAACTTTTTTTATTTTTTATTTATTATTATTATTATAGAATTTTTATTTTTTAAAACAAACATACACAAACAAAACAGAAAATCATCTTCCGGTTACATAGTTTGTTGGTTGGTTACAAGTCTTTTGTGCTTCACCTCTATAGTCCTCGCTTATCATTTGTATAAATTCTTATATTATCCATCTCGTGTGTGTGTGTGTGTGTGTGTGTGTGTGTGTGTATACAGTATACAGTATGTATATAAAGGGATTACTAAGAAGTAATTAGGAACGCAGTGGGAAATACACATAAAGGAATATGCTAGCTCCAGCTGTTTGCCTCAAGCCACTAATACCATAGGAGGCAAAGAAAAGCCTTTAGTGTGAAACTGATTAGGGTCTTGTCAATTTCAGGCAGCAGATGGCAGCCTGCAGATTCTAATCAACTAATTAAGGTCACAAACCTGGACTTGTTAACTTGTGGTTAGCTCTTTTTTTAGGGACATGCATGCTATGCTTTGAGAAAGGCAGCTCCAGATAGCCAGTTACTTTTTTATCACTGTAATTGAATGGTTTTCCAAGGCAGTCGCTAAACAAGGGCTACCTATATTTTAAAAATGAACCATGTTTCTTTCAAATGCTAGGGGGTATCTTGTTTTCACTGTTTGCCACCATGATTTATCGCTTTCCTTAGCTTTTGAAAAGATTTAATCAGGAGAAATGTGAAGCTCTGAATCTGAATAGCAAAAATGGAAGGCACAAGTTTAGGAAGGAGAAGAGCTGGGTTTGAAAAGGATTTGGCTGTTCTTATGGATTAGAAGTTAAACTTGAGTCAATAATGTGATGCATTTGCTAAAAAAAGGCATAACAACTTGTCGAATACTTACAAAAACATAGAATCCATATCATAGGAAGGAACTATTCTACTGTGCTCTGCCCTTCAGATACCATTTCAAAAACTTTTATCTAGTCCTCGCTACTACAGCTTTACAAACTGGAGCAAATTTAGAGACTACCAAGATATTGAGGGATCTAGAAACCAAATAGCATCAAGAACAATTCAAGATTCTAGGTATGTTTAATATATACAAGAGACCCAAGATACGACAATGGTCAGTTAAGTATTTGAAGGACTGATACATAGAAGGAGTAATAGACTTATTCTCTATTGCTTCAGGTGGTTAGTTTCAATGAATTAGATTTGGGCTAGATGCAAACTTGAGCTGCTAGTTGAGATTTCTGGAAGTCCACACATCATAAAATTGCCAAATCTGAAAACCACTGTCTAAGATCCAGGGTTGAACAGAGGGTTGGATTATGTTTTTTTTTTAACAATCTTTACAACTCCAATATCTAAATTATTCTATAATATGTAAATCAAAGTGGAAACATTGCAGTGTATGCAATTGTCACAACCCAGTTCTAAGAAGAAACCCAAGTAAGCTTAATGGCTTTGAAAGCCTCTTGAGACAATGAAAGCTGTTAAGAGAAACCTTAAGATTCAACTAACTACATTTCACTCTAGTTTTATTTACATTTCTTTTTTCCAAAATAGCATGCTTTGATATAGAATTAAAATTATATCTGTAATCTAGAAATATATTTATATTTTAGATTTTATCTAAATAAAATAAAAATTGAATTTTTATCTTGTATTTATCTAAATGTGATGTGAATGTGCCATACAATAAATATAGAATTAGCACTGTCCAAAAAAAACAAGTTTCTCATTCTCTCTCTCATATATATGCACACACAACACATACCCTCACACACTCACAAAGACTTTTTGACCTTAATATTAGAATTAACTCTGGCATAAATCATTGGCTAGCTTTTCTGTGACATGATGCAGAATGCTATTAAAAGAAGGTTCCAATGTCCATTATATAACACAATCTTTAAACTTCAGATTGTGAAAACAGGTGCTTCTTTTACTACAGAGATCAATAAGGAAGCAAACTAGTTTATAAATTAGACAAATTTAATTTTCATTACACTGTAATAATATGTCGTATGGAGATATTTCCTGAGTTTATCCAAATGCTTTCACAATTGACTATGGAGTATATTACAAATGTAACAATAATTTAACAGTACTTAAAAAACATTATTAAATGTACAATATATAAAAACCTTAAGCGCAGCACCCATTCTATATGTTTTTATCATTGCTACTAATGTAAAAGTGTACAAAATATAGAAATTATATTTAAAGGCATGTGAAGTTATTTGACAGGCAAATTTGGAAAACCTCAGTATCTTTATAAAGTTGTTGGATTTATCTTCCTACTCCTTCGATATTAATACTGCTCTTCAAATATTAGATAATTCCTGCTTTATGTAATGCATTGACCTAAATTTCCAATTATTATTTTTAAAATTAATTTTTGTGAGATGAATAGCTTTCAAAGGATTTGTAAGATGTCCAATTCCTAAATGTAAGTTTAAAATATGTCTATTGTAATCATGGGTGATCACATGAGAACTTAACCACAATACTACACTATATTTTAAAATAAAAACCTGACCTTGTAGCCCTAAGTTGTCTTGCCATCCAACATTACACTGAACTAGGTCTTCCAAGGTTCAAGATGTAAGACTGCTTAATTTATGTATATGTGTGCATTTCTCTCCGAATATGTATGAGAGGCCTAACATTAATGCATGAGCAATTATTTGCAACCAATAATGGATAAATCTGGCTATAAAAATCCTTTCCTCCACTTTCAGCTTTATTGTCCTTATATAAAATAAGACTATGGAATTGGAATATAGGTCTCAACAGCAAGAACCCTTCCAAGTCTATACTGATTTATCCAGCTCTATGGATCTAGCTGCTTGCCTACATAGATAGGAGAATTGATCAAAATGGTACATACTTAAATATTTCACAGTTATCAATTAAGTGCTTTTTCTCAAGTATTCAAGGTGAGCAGAAAAAGGAAAGGCCCCGTGAGTGTATGTTGTGTCATCCACTTGCGCTATTTTCAAGTTGAACAGGAGCAGTACTTATTTTAATGGTAATGGTCTCCAATAGCAGATGCAGAATGATTCAAATGATGACTCAAAAGACCCAGGATAATGGGCTGGCAACAAATCCCTCTCTTAGTCCCATACTTACAGTATGGGAATAAATCAAGGAGGTGGTTTTTTTTAAAAAAAAATCTGCTTCGTTCCTTGTTTTAAAAATAGTAAAATGGCGGTTCATGCTTCCTTCTCTGCCAAAGTGTAGCAAGGAGATCATTCTTTACTTGTAGATAAAAAACATGGTCATATTATCAATGCACTTTCATGTACTGTACCTTTTCTAATGAAAGGAAGGAAAAAAGGAAACTCCAGATTAAATAACCTTCATTCTTACAATAGACATCTCTGTAATATTATAAAGGGTAACAACATTAGGTGCAACTCCAAGAGTAATTATTATTCAAGTCCTTTGAAGTTTAACTCAAACTGTTAATAGACAAAGAAAGCTTTAAAAAAAAGAGCAGAACAATGACATTTCTCTAAAATAAACCCATTACAATTTTTGTGTGACTGCAAGTAGGGACTCAGAGTGGTAAAAGTACTGAAAGCTCCCTCAATACCCTTTAAATTCAAAGTTCTATTAGTCACAAGGCTTGGCAACAGAGATGTATCCTCTAGTTTTGGACGGGAGTGTGCAAATATTGCCTAAGTGGTTTGTTATATTGCAACAGAGCAGCAATTTCATCTAAGAACTTCACAGAATTCAAAGCATTCATCCGTTTAATGAAAATTCTAAAGAAGCTGTCCTTTATATCATTCTCCTCCAAGGTTTGTTTCTAAAGTTTATATGTCGTAAAGAGGGCACTAATATATTGATCAGTGATGAGTACCCTACCACAGTTATAACCAAACCTAACCTTGAATTAACAAATGTAAAATGTACATTAAAGAGCTGCCTGAGGAGCGGGCTGGAAGTCACTGGATTTGGTAGCCTGAGCCATGGCTCTACGTTTGGCGAGGCGGGATTTAGAGGGAGGAGAAAGCTTCATGGAGCATATGGCCTGTGTGAGACTTTCCTGTTCTTCACTGAGCTGATTTTCATGCTGGGAGAGTTGGCGGTTCAGAGCAATAGCTTCAGCAGCAAAAAGAGTCAACTCTTTTGTGCTGCTGTTCCTGCGAGAAAATTGAGAAAAGAAAATTAGTTTATACCAGAGGAACTAACAATCTAATTGTGAAGCCCATTAGAAAAGCACAAGTTGTCTCTACATTACCTTCCTTCTAACCAAGTTCATTTTGTGATTCATCTCCAAACAAGAAGTGATGGGAACAATTAATAGCTCTATAGACCCAAGAAACAACGTTTTCTGGGAAAGTTTTACCAATTAATACAACCTTCTGCTTTCTCTCAAAATTCCTTCGATTGCAATGGAGCTATCTAAGCCAATCTCAACTTGGTTTAGAAAATGGATCCACTGCAGTGTTTCTCAACCTTGGTAACATTAAGATTTGTGGATTTTGACTCTCAGAATTCCCCAAGCAGTGTGGCAGGATGGGGAATTCTGGGAGTTGATGTCCACACATCTTAATGTCGCTAAGATTGGAAACAGTTCAATCACCTTTTCAATTCATTATGACAAACTTCCAGAAAAGCTTACCTTTGAAGAACCTGGGGTGTAGGTAATCCTTTTTCAGAAGCATGCTGAAAGCAACAAAAAAGTTGCAATGTAAGTGAAACAACCCTGGAGAAAATCTTCACTAATCAAAGGATACTCAGTCTTCACAGTTCATTATTTTGAACATTTTCTGAATAAATCACATTTTAACAGCAAGGTGTTATGTTGGCTGACTATATATTGGCAATTACAATGTCCAAAGTAATATTCATTAAAGAACGATATACTTATATAAACAGAAATTGGTTCTTCTAGTGTCAAACAACCATTTGCTACTCAAAGGAAAACTTTTAAGTACTCAGTAATAAAGAATATTTATAGATTTAGGAAACCAATTGCAGATCCATCTGTTTTACTTAGCTAGAATAAGAATGGTTAAGTACTGCGCTGGGAGATTGTTTGTACCATCACAAGCCATTAGGGATCTGGACTCATGGTATAAGACAGCATAATTATTTTGACATTTTTAGCCAAGGTCTTTACCCCCCACCAGTTATGGTTTTGATGACCTCTGTTCTCTGATTATGTTATTTTGTAAGATTTGGTTCACATACACAAATGGCATATAGAAAGAGAGGGAAGCACTTACACCTTGTACCCAGGGATGTTCTAGAACCTGGGCAGCGCCAAGCCTCAGTTTGGCATCACGAACCAAGAGCTTTGAGATGAGATCTTTGGCTTGATTGGAGATGCCAGACCAATCCTTGTCAGGAAACTCATACTTGCCTTCCTGGATACTCTCAAAAAGCTTATTCTGTGGGGGAAAAGAAGTATATTGGGTTTGTTTTTTCAGAGGCTGAGAGTTCAGAATTAAAATTTCAATTTTTTTCCAGTCCACAAAATAATATTATTTATTTAAAAGCTCTTTAGAGGTCCCCACCATTGCCTCCCACTATGCAGATGAAACTTTGGAAATATTTTTTGCCATATCTTTGCACTTAAATTGCTTTGGCTTTAAGGAAAACTGCATTTCACTGTTCCTCAGAAAATATTTTTAAATATATTTACAAATATTTTAAATGGATTACAATTTTTTTTTAAGTATTATTCCCCCTCTACATGCAATAGAGGTCACACTAGGAATTGTAGGAAATATACTTTTAGTACAATTCTTGAGAACATAAGACTGGAGAACACGATTGGAATATAAAACCTTAACATTCATGATGAGCTTATAAATTCAAACTGAAACAGTTCTGAAACACTGAAAACATGAAAAATTGCCTTCATTCAAGTCCATAGGTGTCTCAGAAGATCTCCAAATAGTTTTAAAGAAGCTCAATCAAACCTGCTACATCAGGGGTGGGGAATGATAGCCCTTTTATGACTTGTGGACTTCAACTCCCAGAATTCCTGAGGTAGGAATTCTGGGAGTTAAAGTCCATAAGTCATAAAGGAGCCACAGTTCCCCACCTCTATGCTACATTATTACATGTCAAAAATATACTGATTACCTGACAAACTTTGCAGACTTCTCCCCTGTCCCAGCCACAGTCTGTACCACAATTACCCACAAATGGAGGATAGCCACTTAGCATGATATACAAAATCACACCTAGGCTCCAGAGGTCGCATCGCTTGTCATAGAATGTGGCTTCTTCTGTGAAGACCTCCACCACCTCTGGTGCCATGTATTCTGCAGACCCACACTAGCAAGATACAGAACTTGTATCAGTCAGTTGCAGAAAAGGAAGCATTCACCACACAGGTTGTCCTCGCTTAATGACTGCCTCATTTAGTGACCGTTCAAACTGTGTAAAATAAAACAACCAACCCCCTCGCACTGACTACTCTCACAGCATCCTGTGGTTACGTGACCACTATTCACGTGTTTCACAACCAACTTCCAACAGGAAGAGCTAAAGGAGAACCTGGGAGTAATGCTGCAAATGGTGGTCACTTAATGATATTTCATTTAATGACCACAGTGACTCATTTAATGGCTGGACAGGAAGTGATTCCATTAGCCTGATGTGATCATATGATTTTCTGCTTGGTGACAATAGTGCTTTTCAATGGAGCTGCCAGTTCCAATTGTGGTCATTAAGGGAGGCTACCTGTGCCATTAATACATAACTCTTTTTGGAAAGCCGGATCCACCCAAAACCTTGCACGCAGTACCCATTGTTAATGTCAATGCACTACAGGTAGTCAATGCACTACAGGTTGACTTAGAACAGTTCATTTAGTAACCATTCACAGCATTGAAAAAAGTGACTTTTGACCGTTTTTCACATTTACAGCCGCATCCCCATGGTCACATGATCAAAATTCAGATGCTTGGCAACTGGTTTATATTTACGACGGTTGCAACATCCTGGAGTCATGTGATCAGTTTTTGCAACGTGACAATCTGGGGAAACCAGATTCACTTCACAATTGTCTTACTAATTTAACAACTGCAGTGATTCACTTAACAAGTGTGGCAGGAAAGTTTGTAAAATGGGACAAAACTCATTTAACAAATATTTCACTTAGCAACTTAAGTTTTGGGCTCGATTGTGATTATAAATTGAGGATTACCTATATTACAAATTATATGTTTAGTAACATTTCATTTGGAGTGGCTATTTTCCCCCGACAAAGCTGGCAGAGTATTAAACCCAATGCAGGAAATTCTGCTGCTGATGTTAAATCAGTATCAGTTTAGTAGCAGGATACTAGCAGATGCTGAAGAAGTCCAGAAGGAGAGGATGATCTAAGTCAGGGGTGCCCAACCTTGGCAACTTTAAGATATGGGGACTTCAACCTCCAGAATTCCCCAGCCAGCATATATTCAATTCAATTCAATCTTTATCGATTGGCCCTTGGACTGTATCAAAGGGTAGAATTCCAAAAATGAATTACTAAAATTTGATAAAAGCAATTTTATCAAATTTTGATTTGATAATTGATTTGAATTGGATAAAATGCAATTTTAAATGAAACTGGAATAAAATATGATTTAAAATGAAATTGGAATAAAATACAGCATATAAAGATTCCAGAGTTGGGCACCCCTATCTAATCAGTTCTAAACAAGTTACTGTGATTATTAGTGTAATTATTACTTCTCGTCGATACAAAGCAGTTATCTCTTTGGAAATTTAGACTATGCAACTCATTCAGTCTAACCCTGGCAGATAAGAGATTCCCAGATCTAGGCACGCTGTAGCATAAATTTAATTCATATTTGTAGCACAATACAAACTGAACATTTTTAAAGCCAAGACTTTTTTTTTTAAAGTGAGGACAGCATTTTACACTTGATGGAAATAAGCGTAAGATTGCTGGTCTGCCTCCCACAACCCTGGCAATAAACTATGGCACAGTTGCTGGGCAACAGCAAGAATTATGAGGAAGCAAAAATGAAATTGAGAATGTTAATTTGTAGATGTCTCGGTATAGAGTACTTGAATATACACACAATTTCAGAATGTTTTTTGTGTGGTAACAAACAGTTGGCTTGGTGATACAACTTAACCTTGCAGATTTTAATTAAATGCAAATATACCCATTGTCATCCCAAACCTCTGCAAGTCAAGTTCTGGGATAGGTTGGGTCAGGCAATGCATAAAATCTCTTTTAAATACATAGTTTAAAATTCTTGCAACTCTCTTTGAAATGTCTTGTCCAATATGAAGTGACTTATTCTAGTACTGTTTCATATTCACTCATCATTTCCAAAGTTTAATCTCTCCTGAACTTTTAATATTTGGTCATGGCTTAGGAGTTTTGGAGAAACATATACAGTAAACCACATTCCAGAGTCCTTATACTTGGGATTTCATACTATGTGTTGCAACCATCTCAAAGCAGTAGCACATAGACTTGTATACCACTTCATGGGGCTTTACAGCCCTCTCTGAGCGGTTTACAGAGTCAGCATATTGCCCCAGTGTTTCTCAACCTCAACGGCTTTAAGATCCCAGAAGCTGAAGTCCACACATCTTAAAAGTTGCTGAGATTGAAAAATTAAAAAAAGAAAACAAGTAAAAGCAAAATCTGAATCCTTCCAATGTGCATTGATAAGGAATTATTGAGATGGTTGAGATTGAGGTACCCGATACATTTGATTGTGTTACATTTTATTTTTGAAAATAACTCTTCATTTTCTCTCTCCTTAACTTTCTAGTAATTTGATTACCTAGCCTGGATAATGATTTTATTTAACATGTACAAGCCATAATTCTGGAATTTGGCATGTGACTATGTTCACAGGTTAACTGTCATTAATCACATGAGTAGTTTCAATGTTAAAAAAAATATCTGAAATACATTGCAAAAGGGCTGTTCAGTATTCCTATATATACAGCATTAAAGGTGCAAGTTTTGTTGGCTACAAGAGGATAAATATGATCTAGGAAAATAACCAGTCGGTTTATAATTTTTCTTATTTATTTGCAGTCTCTGTGTATACTCACAGGGACTTAATATATATGTAATTCTGCTTTTGCATATTACCATTTTCAGCAATCTTTAGGTTTCCTGCTTCCTGGTGCGATTCCACTCCCTTACTAGATTGAATTCCCCCCAATAATTCCCTTTTCTATCAAACTTTGCATCCATTCAAGGAATCTTTTGGAACAACTTTTTCCTCACACTGAAGTATATAAAACTGAATCTTATCCAGCTTATGCCACATTTATTTCAGCTTCAATCTGCCTATCATGCAATCAGCATTTCCTGTATCAGAACTGCAGGGTTTTTCCATATTTTACTCTCAGGTATCCTGCATACCAAATGAATATATATAATATCAGCATGAATGAAGATACTGTGATGGCCCATCATGTCTTTCAGAACAAAAAAATACAATCTGCTTTTTCAAATCAATATTTTATAAAATCACAGATAAATTGTAAGAACTTATTATATGAAGATTGTTTACCTGCTTGAGAATACTGCTGTAGCAAGAAAGCATAAAAATACATTTCCAAACATTGTATGTATGAAGCCGAATGATACTTTACATTAGGACTAATGTCAAGATTTCCATGGTCTTATTGGAAGCTATATTCTTATAATTTTCAAACTTAAGAATTGCAGCTTATAGAATCATCTATAATTCCAAATAAAAGATAAGTAAGACATTGTCTGGAAAATGCAATATTGACATATTTGATGTTTCATTTTTTGCAATTCAACTAAACTCCAGCTAGGTTGTGCATCTGAGCAACTCTGCAGCACAACATATTGAATCGTAGCCCTCTGTTCTCACATCATAGCCAATTCTTCAAAATACAAGTGCCTACATACCGGAGTAGTCAGTTCAGGAGTAGAGATTGGAGTACATGCACTGTTAAGTTTGACCCCACTTCCAAGATCAAAGTCACAAATTTTTACAGGTGATACCTAAAATGGAGGAAGAAGGAAAAACACATATACAGTAAGTCAAATCACCGAGGAAATAAATTAAGCACAATGAAATGTAAACAGGTAGAATTACAAAACATAGGCGCACCTTATTGGGAGATTCACAGAGTATATTCTCAGGTTTTAGATCTCGATGTGCAATACCTAAGAAGCAACACAGAAAGACAATGAGTCATGTCCAAAACAACATTGCCAAAAATAGAGAAAATATTTGCTTTTTGGTGTCTGCAGTAATTACTAATTCCATTGCACTTAAATCATATCTTAAAGTTACATTCAAACTTTGTGAAATATTCCTGGATATTTTCCAAATGATTGTACAGGAAAAATAATATGGATTAGAATAATGGCACTAAAAATGAAATTAAAAAATAATTCAGAGGGAGCCTTTAGCTCTTCACATGAATCTTGAAGTCCCAACAAATTATATATTACAATCCAGGCATTTCAGAAGCATTTCTAACACTCAAAAGAAAAGTACCGGCTAATGGACTATTTTTATAGCTGTTGATAAGAGATGTGTGTATACTTGTAATACTGGTACATTTTTTAAAGAACAAAAATAAAATGTTCCCTTTATAAGCTCTTCCTGTTGTCAATACACAAATACCAGCAGTGACTGGCTCCTTCAAAAGCTAACGCAGAGTTTTAAAGAGTCTTGAGGGGGTGATAGCGTAACTTATACAGTCAGTGCTTGACTTGCTATTTCCACCCACATGTTAAGTATTCACAACTGTGAGAAGAAAACCTATGAATCTAAGTTTCTAAGGCAATTGGAAATGTGTAAGGATGTGTAGGTCTTCAAAAGGACAGATTTCTTTTTTCAGAATTTTGACCAAAGCATTTGTTCAGCTGGAAAACAAAAGGGCCCCCCACTTCTAACTAGAAGATAATTGGGTGACTGCATTGTGTTGACCGACTGTTAATATTACTGCACACAAGTAGCAACCTGTGTTAGTGAAGCGAACAAAGAATTAGAGACAAAGAATCTCATATAGGATGGCTGGGGATGAACTACTGGTGTTTTACTTTTGGTATTGGTATGAAAAAACTAACGAAGGGCAGGCTGGCTTCAAAATACCTTGTAATTACATTGTCATTTCAGTGTTCTCGTAACTGCATGCAGATATTATAGATGTGTGAGGAGGAGGAACCTTTTACTCACTTCAAATTTAATTATACAGGAGTTGTATTTTTTTTTTACTGGCCACAGATTACATAGAAAGAATCTGTGGGTTTAAAAATAAATGTTTTACTTAAATATTTTTACATTTTTTGAATTTATCATCTGTACCATTAAGTGTCACTGTTAGGGTAAAGAGGTGAGCAAAACTTACATTACTTTGATCCGTGTCATTAGAAATGATCATTTATACAATTATAGACTCCCCAGCAGATGGCTGTCTAGTTTGCATTTAAATACATCTAGCGGGGAAGAACTACTACCTCCCTTCATAACTGGGTCAATTTTCAAACCGCTCATATTCTTATGAAGTTTGTTTCTAATATTCAGCTGTATTTCTGCCTTCCTAAACCTTAAATCCATTGTCCCATATCCTGGAGCAGGTCTTGACTTTGTGTGACAGTCTTAGTTAGCTATTTGAAAAACTCTTACCAGAATCTTTTCTTCGCAATTCTCATTTCATTCTGTCTTTCTTCATCATAAGTAATTTCTAATTCCCCAATCATCCTTACTGCTATTTCTTATGCTCGTAATATTGATTTTAAATTTCTAATATTAATGAATAATACTGTGCCACTCTCAAGACTGTAATAATGGATTGGAAACTGGAAACTTAAAAATCTTTACAACCTTACAGTAACCAGGTTGGGTTGGATACATAATTCTGTTTTTTTTTAATTAAAAAAGATCATAATTCAGATCTGGTGCCCAGTCTCCTCCACATCATGCCACATATCTGCTTACAAGGCATGTGGACCATCTATAAGCATAGTTAATATGAGCATTATTCATCTCCTCCAAATCCCCTGTAAGTGTCATTTATATTGAATCATCATGCCTGTGCAATAGCTCAATAGGGATTATGTTCACTCACTGTACCTCAAAGCCAACAACCAATGTCAAAACCTTTGTGCTATTTATGTTAGAAAAATGCATCCAAAATGCTTAAACACAGAAGTAAACTTAATTTCATGCTAGTCATGTTTAAGTATACAAGCAAACCTTTCTTAGCCTGAAAGCTGATAGCTTGGAAATAGGGATATGTAAGTTTTTACCTTTTGTGTGCAAGAAATCCAATGCACAGGCAATGTCTCTCACCACCTGGCTGGCTTCCCTCTCATTAAAATGCTTTTGCTTCTGTATATGAGTCAGGATAGAGCCTATAGAGGAAAGGGGGCAGGTAGGCACTTTTTTTAAAAAAGGCAGGGATATATTTAGGCAAAATATCTGAAGACACCAAACTCTATAATAAGTATAGACATATTTGTGATAACCAAATTGTGCAGATTCCTATCTCAACAAAAATAGCAGCAAAGATAATTACAAAAGAGAAATTGATTTTACAGCCCCCACATCACAGCTCAACAGTTAGAGACCATGCAGACAGGTCTGTTTTCTTCAGAAACAAGTGCGATATTTACTCCAAAGTTGTTAATACAAGATTACTATTATAATCAGCAATGAAAGGCCAAAAGTTTAATCAAGACTGTTCACATTTCCTGAACCTTCCCCACATCAAAGACAAGTTTTGAATAATATGTAGTTGTACAAATTTTTACCATGAAATTGTATATGATATTTTGTCACTGCAAAGAGAGATATGTAGTCTGTTTCCTAACTTCATATTTTTTATATTTGTGACCGATTCTCAAAACTAAAAAACACAAAGTATTCTGTACTTCAATATAATGTAATTATTCTGAGTGACTTCAATTTATTTTTTAAGAACCATCCCAACATTATCTGGATAATAAGTATTTCAGCTTCATACATGAGTACAATAATAATCTTTAAAATGGGCTAAAATCCAAGTGTTATATTATGTAAGATAAAAAACTATATATTTCTGTTAAAAGTTTGAATAATTAAACTAAGGCAGGGTCAATGTTACCACAAAATTGGGAGGGGGGGCAGAGACAAAGGAACGGGAATACATACTTACCTCCTCGCAGTTTTTCAAACACAAGGTAGTACCTTACACTATCTTCAAAAAACTCTATTAATTCCAAAATGTTTCTAAAAACAAGACACAGGTGATCATGCTAAGTCTTATTTTATTACCACATCAAAAGGCACAAGTATCCCCATAAGTGTTATTTGAAATATTCTGACGTTTTCAGATAAACAATAAAATGATCACATTGGTCTAATCCTAAAATCATCAGTATTAATGTTTCTTAAATTAATCGGTATCGTTAATAAATATGAAAAATAATTCACTTGTCTTGTGCTCTCTCTCTCGTTCCCAGGCATGCATTATTAAATAAATAAGTAGGAGCCAAAAGGACCTGAACAATTTTGGTAGAAGCAGTTGCTTCAAGTCTACCCTTCGTGCTTTATCAACATAATTTAACGAGGGATGTTATTTGAGCTCTGCTTTCTATACATATACCAAGAATAAACAACTGCAGCAAATCTTATTTTGTGGAATTTTTAACGTAAGGGGTTTTATAATTTAATACTTACTTATTGCCTTGACACTGATACAATGTTTCCACCTCTCGAAATACCCGACTCCGACTATGGCCAGCATTTTTTTCAATTATCTGTTGCCAAAAATAGAAAGTTTTTTTTTAATGAAAAACTTCTTGCAGAATGATTGTTGCATTATATCCAATTCTGTCTGCCTGACAAGACTGGGTTTTATTGATACATAAAAATCACTTCTTGCACCATGTTACAGATCCACTCAACCTACGCCTTCCAGATGAGCTTTCAGAAGCCTCATGAAGCACTGGGAAGAAAAGTGAGGGAAATTCCTGTTGCAGGAGTAGAAAATTTTGCATGATGCCAAATGTTGCCACTGACATAATCTTTTAATTTTAATATGTTGAAGGAAAAAAACTGATTAGACCTAGTATCGGGTGGAGAACTTTTATGTCTTGTGGACTTCAAATCCCAGAATTCCTGAGGCAGTTGAAGTCCATAAGTCATAAAGGAGCCATAGTTCCCTAACTCTGAACTAGTTATTAATATAGTTGATAACTGGGTTCTTGTAGGTTCTTGAAGAGGAAATCGAATTTTTAAGCAACAACACTCTTAACCAAAATGAAAATTGTTATGCTTTCTTCACCTTGACGGCATATTCCTTTCCAGTCTGCAAACTAACTGCTCCCTGAACCTTGGCATAGGAGCCTTCACCAAGCATCTCTGCAGTGAGCTTGTACAAATCTGCCAAGTAATATAAATAATAAATAGTAAGTAATAAATAATAACATGACAACTTTCTGCAATAACACCAGCGGAACTGCAAAAAACTGGAACAACATACATTTTAAGAAGATACTTGGTTGATACCTAGGATGCTGGCACCAACCTGTATCAACCATCAGCACCAGTCAAAGATATTTGTGATACATTTTTAAATGTTCAGTTGACTTGAGTTTCATGTTTAATGATTAAAAGAGATATAATAATAGTAGTAGTAATAGCAGTAGTAGTGGTAATGGTAGTATGTACTGGTAATATAATAATAATAATAATTTCCAAAAAAACCATGCAGATTTGCCAATCCCAGGTCCTAGGCAAGCACTCGATAGGTAGACAAAAATGCCAAACCCAATCTGAACTTCTGGCTGACTGTGCAATCATTAATAATAACAACAATAGCAACAATAATAATCCCATATGCAGAAGGAATTTACAGTGGACAATTTGGTAAACGTAATGCCAATAACACATCTGCTATTAAACAAGAAAAAGTTCATCAAGAAATTAAAGACAACAACATGGGAGAAAAGTTTATCCAACCTTCAAACCTTCCAGGGAAATGATCTGTAGCTCTTGTTTTCTTTTTCTTTTTCCTTTTGCCATTGTCAGATATGGGAAGAGGCTGGCTATTGATTATCTCTATGCAACAAAAAAAAAAGTGCAGCAGTTCACTCTTTTGTTTACGCATATATGTGAGAGAGTAGTATGACTTCGTACTCTCAAATCTTTAATGTTCTCTTTTTTTTAATCTCCCAATGTAAACCACTAAAAAAAGGTAATATTTTTGGTTATATCAAAGGAATACTATTTACAAGGTATAGGGACATAGGGAAAAAAGTAACAATAAAGAAACAGTGTACAAAATGTTTGTACAAATGTCACAAAACATAGGGTTCCCACATAGCACATCGTAAGTCCATTTGGAATAGTCTTTTTACCATTATTTTTCCCAATTTCAATGGTTAAAGCCACGAATAGGACCTTCTTGTTCAGTCACTATAAAATAATAAGCCATAATGTTTGGTTGGGGGAGCGGGAGCGAGAGAGGGAATGGCTTTGTACCAGGTTGTATCAACTCCAGTAATCGAGCTAAAGAAAAGAGACTGTGCAAATTACAGTGTGAAAAATCAGCAGGACACTAAAATAAATATTTGGGATGCAAAAATCCATTCAGCAGAAATATTACTCTACATAGTAAATAAAAATTTCATAAAAGCCCAGAAGGTTAGCAGGAAAAATGCCTGGGAATTTATTTATTTTAGGCCACTTGATTCTGAATTTTTTAAGTTAATGGTATAATGTGAGACTTTCTCCTCATGAAGAAATGTAACTTTTGCTGCATGTCCATTTGAATGGATATTTTTGTATTTTGAAGACTGTTTCTATTTTAAAAATCCTGAATTCAACTTGAATGAAATGCTGCAGTGGTATTTGGGTATCATAAAAGGACAGCTTCTCAAAATGTTCTGGTCATAGTTTATCATTTCTTTATTTGGCTTGCTTACACTTTACAAACATTGTAGTTTATTTACATTTATTATATGTTTTATATTTTGGTCTTCAATCTATCTGCATATAGATTTTTTTCACTGGATTTATGATGTTTTACTTTGACTTTGTGGTATCATTACATTTTTTTTTAACCTTTTGTGCTTGTTGTTTGAATCATAAATATTTGTAACTCTCTTCTGAAAATGTTTTATTCAATTAACTTTACTTCAGTTGCTTCCTTCATTTGATTAAATTTATTAACAATGTAAGAGAGCAGCACTAGTAATAAAGATGGCACATTTGATCTAAATTCTCATGTGTTACCCTGGTGAAGGAAGGATGGATAGGGATATGAAGTTCAGCAGAAAGAATTAAGTTGTTCTATTCCATTTTCAAGGTATCTCGGTGGTTTTTGTTGTGGTTTGATTAGTTCCTGATTATGGATGATGAATTCTATGATGATTGATTCTTGAATTGAAACTTGGGTTTTTATTTAAGTGCTTCCAGATATTTGCACATTTTATTATCTGTATATGGTACATGCTATGACATTATGCTTTCTAAAACTGATGAAGAGTAAAATTTAGCCTACTTTAAAAAGCTTAACATTTCTGAGGTCTTCAATAGAAATAAAAAACTGAGAGTGGTGCAAGACTTCTACCATCCTGCTTTTTAGTTTTAGTATGTGTATCCTGTTGTAAATTAAAACTTTCACTTTAGAATTTCTTCAAGTTGATTACCCTTATGGCTTTTTATGTTTTATAAAAATATCTGAAGGTGAGAGCACTTCATTACTTCTGTTTAATTTTTCAAATCTGAACTGAAAAGAATTTGAGATTCTCTTATGATATCAAGATAATTAAGTTTTCCTGAAAGAAAAAAATGAAGCTGGAACAGTCAGATTTCAGTCTCTGCATGATAATTCTTTGCTTTGACAAGATATTTTTGAAGCAAAGCAGCAATCAGTTCTGCAGTAGTTTACAATGATAACTCAATATGCTTTTTGATTTATGATTGAAACTATAATTAATGTCATTACTAATGCTCATAAGAATATCATAAAGGTCTTAAAGAATTGTTTTTCCTTCATATAAGCACAAAAAGCTTCCACATACTGATCTAAGTTTATTTTCCATCATTTCTACAAGTATTGACAAACTCTTCATGTCTTTGTAGATAAACTGGAGGAATTAAGTATCACTTCTTTATTTTTATTAAATGCAGGATAAAATACATGTAAACAAATTCATCAGAAACTAAAAGACAATGAGTGTCTCAACATGCTGTATGAAGAATTATTATTTGGTTGATTTGGACATATTATGTTCTGTCAATCGAGAGAATGAGCTTATTTAGTAAACCAAATTAAAATAAACCATTATTTAATACAAAGTGTAAAGCCAGTTTATAGTATTCACATACAATATTTTCATTCTAGCCTTTCTATAACACTAAATAACGTTCAAAATAAATCCAGATGAGATTTTTTACAATTCCTGAATATTTTTATTTCTAAAAGATAAATGTTGTATTTGTTGAATGACTACTAAACTTATAACGTTTAGTGAACTGCATAGGTGTACTAACATGCTGAGGTTTATTTGCATAAAACAGAGAAGGTTTTTAGCAGATGTATTGTTAAAAAATATTTATTAAGTAAATTAAAAAGTGTAATACCTTCCCATACCAAGTTCATAGTTTGTCCACTCTGGAAATGACTGTTTTATTAAGTTTTGACCAATCTTGGTCCACGAAATATATTTCTTGTCTATACTATCTGTGCTGGGTTAGCCAGTGTGCAGGCTTTTTCAATCAGTTTTTCCCATCTGACACATCAAAGGTTAAACAGCTTTCTTTCACACCAGAAAAAAAGCTTAACTCATTGCTATGTCCAAGTTGTGCTCAGACAGCCATAAAACAAGTGTTACTTTTGCTATTTATTCTGCCTGTGGTTTTAATCAGAAATGCAAGACATATCCTTATATAACCTGCACTTTCCTAAGATACTTTCTGCTAGAATAACCCCGAATGACCTCGCCATTTTTTAAAAATGTGTAAGATGGCAATCAATTGTCTTACCACAATGTAATTATTGTAGCCCCTTTCCTTCTAAATTATCTTAGAGTAGGTTTGCTTTAAAATTATATTAAATGAGCCTAGGAGCAATCTGTATTCATCTTCACAAATTATCTAAGGAAACTCAAGGGCATTAGTAGAGCATCATCTGGACTGCATTGGGGCTGACTCTTGGAAACTGTATGGACAACTGTCCACAACTTTGACCTGTGCCCGACAGCAACCAACAATGTTTCCAACATTGCACTAGCAATGAGTACATTCATTCCTCTTGCCCATTGTTGTCTCCTTCTTCTTACGCCCCTCGATCTTACCAAGCATAGTTGTTTTTGCTATGCTATCATTTTCTGCATTAGATGCCCCAATGATTTAGCTAATGCTTACTAAAAAAGATAGGAACATACAAAATGAAGACTTGATTGAATAGACCTTGACCTCTAGTTTGTAGCAGAGAACCATTTAGTACTCTCTGCTGCCATCTAATGGTTATCTGGACTTCTGCAGTACAGGTAGTACTCAACTTTAAAAACAGTTCATTTACTGACCATTCAAAATTACAATGAAAAAAGTGACTTATGACCATTTTTGCACACTGAACCACCATTGCAGCATCCCAGGGGTCACATGATCAAAATTCAGCCACTTGGCAATGGACTTATATGTATGACAGTCACGTGATCAGCTTTTGTGACTTTCTGACAAGCTATGTCAATGGGGAAGCCAAATTCACTTAACAACTCCATTCCTAACTTAACAACTGTAGTGATTCATTTAACAATTGTGGCAAGAAAGGTCACAAAATGGGGCTAAATTCACTTAACAAATGTCTCCCTTAGCAACAATAATTTTGGGACTCAATTCTGGTCATAAGTCAAGGACTACCTGTACATTTTGTGCAACTGGTATTCTTGAAAATATTGGGCAAGATGTGGGTGGCAAAGAGAAGCCTTGCTTCCCCTATCTTCACTATATTTATATCTCTGGGGTATATCGGGATGTGCGGAGGCTGAAAACAGGGCGCGCAGAGGCTGAAAACAGGGCGCGCAGGGGCTGAAAATGGGGCACGCAGAGGTGGTGATAGGTGATCCCTGCAGACTGGAACAGCTGATCGTCAGTATTCTGGGAAGCAGATCCCACCTACAATCAGTTGCTCGTGCTAAATCAGGCTGTCCTGAAGCTATTCGCTATTTGTTGCAAGGACACAAATTGCTGGGAGACAGAGGCAGATTTTTTTTTCTTGTTTTCCTCCCCAAAAGCTAGGTGCGTCTTATAAGTCAGAGCGTCTTATACTCCGAAAAATACGGTAACTTTCCCCAGTTTCCAGCATTTACCAACACTGATAGAGCAAGCTACTGTATATAAACAGGAAGCAAACCCCACACTTACTTGCACTGGTGATGTTACCTAATTGGTTAATGAACATCTGCAACAACCAAGCACAGACAGCGCCAAGAATTCTGCACTAAAGTCAATATATTGAACACTTTAAGGGCAAGACCCACAGAAGAAATACATTTCAGCTCAGTGGTTTAATCTTCAAATCGGATACCTGATTTATGCTGGATGGGTTTCACTGAATAGAAGGCTGGTGGAGCCTGGCAACACGCCTCATTCATAAATGAACCTGATGAAGGATTACTTTGTGACTGAAAGTAAACAAAAAGGGTCTCTGTTTAGTTCTCTCTGTGCTCATTATGGTCTATAAGAGGAGATACAACAGATGGCAAATCTGTTCTTTATTAATTTATACAAAACATTATGACTTGTTTATTATTGCAGAATTACTATGTACAGTATGCACATATAAAGTAAACCCACAACCAAGTTTCTGTACCCTCCCTGTTCAGTTCTTCTCTATCTCATGTTATATATTCACCAGGGGTAAATATCTCCCTAATGTTGTCAGCCATATTCAGTGACAACACAATTTGTATTAGTGCCATGATTCTACGGGGATGGCAACAACAATTTGAGACTATAATAGCCACACTTTAAGAGTTCACAAATTCCAGAAGACAGTTAAAACGTTTTCAATTAACTTCTACAACACATTACTTGATCTTTCAATTGCTCAATAGCTATCAAACATACTCTCCATTTATATCAAACATGCATTGTCAAAATATATTTTATACATTAGTGAGATAACATAACCTATACATTCCTATACTATAAACACAAAAGACTTCAACTTCTGAGCATGATTCAAGGCACTGATCCATCACCTGTAAAGCCCAACATGGTCACCTCAGGTATTATCTGTGTCCCATCATATCTTCCCAGTCAGTTTGATCTAGGTTTGGCATGCTCTGGGTTCCATCAAATAAACAATGATTATCTGTCAGGACTCTGGGTATGGGACTTCTTTGTAGCAGTATCTGCCCTCTAGAATGAGAATCCCTACAAAATTCAAATGGATTCCTATCTACTGCTATTCCAAAGAACTTTAAGTATCTGGCTGCTCTCACTCAGGCTTTTGATGAGGATGACTGATGCCACTTCTTCTTTTTGGTTCCCCTCCAGATATCCTTTCTTTGAGTTCATTGTACTATCTTGTACTTTTTTTCTTTTAAATTTGTTCAACCAAAGCAATAGTAGCATTGGTTTTTGTTCCTAAATGTAGCCATTCTAAACCACCTAGGTTCACTGGGATTTGGGCATACATTTTACATTATTATATATACAAAAATGGGAAATCTAAGTTACCAGTTTTTAGCAACCCTTGGCACAAATGGCCAGATTCAAATTATCATACTATGGATATACAGGCAGTCCTCGACTTACGACTACAATTGAGCTCAAGCTTTCTGTTGTTAAGTAAGACATTTGTTAAGGGAGTTTTACCTCATTTTATGACTTTTCATGCCTCAGTTGCTGAATGAATCACTGCAGGTTGATAAGTTAGTAACCCAGTTGTTAAATGAATCTAGTTTTCCCGGAAAATTAAGGAATTAGGGGAGGTTTCCGGTGGCAGGACAGGGAGAACGGAGGTGAAGAAGACTGTTGCAGTCTTTGAACACCTTTTCTGGCGCCAGGAGCGATCCCCCAGGGATACACGAACCCCGGAGAGGTTCGTGTCAACGTGGAGAACCTCGAGCTGCAGAGGGGGGAAGGCAACCCCCCGACAGTGAAGAGGGAAGCTCCCGAGCCCGGCGCAAAAGAGTAAGCTGTCATCCTATGGCGGCTTCAAGTTCGGTCTGCCACTTGAGTGAATAAGCAAACAGTGACAGCCTGCGAGGCCGAGAGTAACAGGAACAGAGAAACAGTTTATAACTTCGATCCTTTGAAGACTGAAGAGAGCAGAATGACAGAAGAATGACAGCATAAATTCTTCTCTCCTGGTTGTGATTAGCACCTCTCAGAAGTCGGGCGGAGAGCGGCCAGAAAAGCAGTTGAGAAAATGAAAGGATTATAATGGACAGCGGAAAAGCCTAAGCACAAAAGGGAAAGCACAGATTTACCCTGTGAAAGGGAAGCTCTGGGGAAAGAGGGAGATTGCTAAAACCAGGAGATCGGAGGTCCGGAATTGGTGAGGGGCTTCATCTGATTTTTGGACCTTTCTTTTTGACTTTATTTGAGAAGAGGGAGGCGACGGAGGTGAAAGAATACTGACACTGATTGAGTCTTATGAATCCTCAGATCTGAGCACAACATGACTATTACATCTTTTTAATACTGTGGAGAAGACAAACTGAGCATTATATTGGACTTTGGAAGATTTGTATGTTGATTTAATAGTTGGAAAGCAAAGAAAGAAGAAGCAGCAAGAGGAAGAAGGCAGAGGCGAACAGAAGGCTGGGAAAGACGGTTTTGGGACTGCAGATTAGTCAGCACATTACAACATTTGCTGATTGGAAGGCTGAAAAGAATTCTCTAGCTGGAGGATGGACTTTTAGCTCACCCAACTTGCTTTCTTTATTACGTGGTACTACTTAATATTACTAATTTGACACTACTTTCTCTTTAAGATGACTTCCTTGCTTTTTGTTTGTTGATTCTCTGAAGCTGTGGTAATCTCTCTCCTACCCTTTCTCTTATTGTTTTGCCCCCTGCCTCCCTATTGTATCTCCTAAATAGCTTACATAATTCTACTTATTTGGGGGGGGAAAAAGAGGGGGATATACTATTATTATAGAGTTAAGAGATTACTGTTGTAAGTATTAATAGTAAAGAGGGATAAACTCTGTTGATATAAACTATTTATAAATTATTTAGACTACTTAAGACATTTAAGATTAATTCCTTAAAGTGTTAATTGATGTACTATTGCTGACCAATTTTCTTATTACATAGACTAGAATACTGTAGCAGATATCTATTTATGATATAGGGGAAAAGACTGTGGAGTGAGATATTAAATTGAAATACGCGAATAGACTTTCAAATACAAGACCCAAACACTGAATGGTGATTTGGGATAATATATCTAAAATTGTGCATCAACAAAAACAAATACTTAGAGAGATGACATCCACGACAACTAAGACTAACTTTGAAAGGATGGATGAGGAATTTAAAAATGTACTTAGAGAAACGGAAGACTCACTGGTCCACCTCGAGATGGACAAAGCAATGGCGTATTTAAGGTTCCAGAATGTGGCTGAAGCAAAAAATGAAGAATTGGAACATTTGATGGCAGAAATATTGGCTGAATGGTTAGGAAAGGAAAAAGATGATCTAATTAAAGAGTTTGATGAGGTATATAGGGATAGCACAAGCTATGCCAGACGCAACAACTGTCCAAAAGAAATCCATATCTGCTTCTCTAGGAGATGTCTGAGGGATTTAAGTTTGAAAATGTCTAGGGAGGAAACAATATCATATAAAGGCAGAGAAATTATGATTTTAAAACAAATTCCAAAGAAAGTGAGGATGATAAGACAAGATTATAAATTTCTAGCTAATGATTTAAATAAAAAAGAAATCCAATTTAAATGGTTAATCCCGGAAGGGATGTTAATTACGTGGAAAGAGAGGAAAATCAAAATAGAATCGAGAGAACAGGCCCAAGATTTTTATCAACAGCTCACGGATACGAATGGTCAATCCACTAAAGAAGAACTTAAAAGGAGACCACAGGAGGACCGATATCATCACAGAACCCAAAAGGAACGACTTTCTCCAATTTCAGGAAGTGATAAACCACAACCTGGGAGAGAAGAGCAAATCCCACAACAACAACAACAAGAAAACCGAATCATTACTAGGCAAAAATCTAAGCAGACGTAGATAAATGGTGGAGGGGAAGAAGTTGCTCTCCATCAATATAAACGGATTAAATTCAATATCAAAAAGAAAAAGAATATTTTCAAAACTTATTCGACATAACGCAGATATAATATGTCTTCAAGAAACACATATTTCAAAAAATGATGAAAGACATCTAATTTGTCCAAAATTAGGGAAACTTTTTACAGCACCGGCCAATAAACACAAGAAAAAAGGAATTGCAATTTATGTAAAACAAGATGTAAAGGCAGAATTAACCTGGTCGGATCCCAAAGGAAGAACTCTGGTTATACAAGTTTGGATAAACCACATCACATTTTTACTTGTAGCAATCTATGCCCCAAATGAAGACCAGGGGAAATTTTTTAAACACCTCCACCAAAAAATAGTAGGCTTTGAAAAAAGGAACATTTGCTTGATTGGCGATTTTAACTCCATTGCAGACTACCAAAAAGACCATAGTAATATGGGAAAAAACAAGAAGGGGAAAAGGGAACTTTCTGCGGCATGTAAGGAAATGATGAAAGAGTTAAATTTAAAAGATTTATGGAGGGAACGGAATCTTGAAGAGAAACAATTTACATACTATTCTAATCCACATAAGACTTGGACTAGAATAGATATGGCTTGGATGGATTTGGATTTGGCTAATGAAATAAAAGAAATTAAAATCCTACCAAATGAATGGGCTGACCACAACCCAATACAGCTAATTTGGAGAGATAGGAGAGGAATAAAAAAAAGATGGACACTCAACACCCAAATAGTAAATGAAGAAGAGTATATTAATAAGCTGAAAGAGGAGCTAAACTATTTCCTAAAAGATAATAATAATGAAACAACTTCAAAACAGAATATTTGGGATACTATGAAAGCAATTATAAGAGGTACAACAATTTCCTATAATGCTATGAGAAACAAGAGAACTTATGCCCGACAAAACGTATTACAACAACAAAGACTTAGAAACACAATTACAAAAAAACCCTAAGATCCAAGGACTACAAAACCAGTTAATATTAGCCAAACATAAGCTGAATTTAATTGAACAAGATAAAATAGAAGTTAGCTTGAGAAGGTCCAAACAAAATTATTTTGAACACGCCAATAAACCAGGAAGATGGCTGTTGGGTATATGGATACACCAACCAGGTTTGGGTTGAATAAATATG